TATCGAGGAGCCAGTCGTAGAGGGCGAGTGGAGACGGTAGCCCTGATACGTGGTCGTAGACGTCCTTGAGACCGCAAAGGTGGGCGTGGACGTCAGCAACCGAGATGTTGCAGGGCCGAAGGTCCGCCTTTTTGGCGACGGCTGCGCGGTCGGTGATGGCGGCCGCGACGGTGAGAAGTTGGTCATGAACGCTGTCTGCGGCGTCTGTGGAGGCTGTCGACGTTGTCGTAGCGGTCAGTAGCCGAATGAGCTGCGTCTGGAGCGACCGTGAGCCCATGTCGAGCAGGAGTTTCTTCTTGTTGGAAAAGACAATCTCGACGAGGAAAGGCGGGTCGATGGCGCTAGCAGCGCAGCCGGTGGTATCGAACGGCTTGTGTGAGGCGCCGTAGTCGACGCGCAGGGGCTGGCCGTCGAGCGAGACGACGACGGGCGTCCACGACTGGAACGGCAGCGGCCCCGGCACCAGCGCGCTCACCTCGAACATCCCTGGAATGGTACCGAAGCATGTTACACTCGCCGATTTATTGAGCTGCATGTGATTGGCCAATATGCCGATCGCACCTGCCTTTGATTGGCGGAGGCCTCGATCACTGTCAGCAACGTGGCATCACCAGCGAGCACTGAACCTCGGGGAACATTGGATCGAGCGGGTCTGTGCTCTAGCACAAGTGTCGACAAGCGCTGTGTCATATACGAACATGGCCATGCTATGGGGCGGGTGTGTTGACGCTGGTGGCATCGTGCGCAACCAGTTGCCTTGTGAAACTCCGAGTCGGCGACTGCGCGCTGGGTGCTGATACAGAGTCCTTTGGAGAGTCCTGCGGGCGCCGTTTGCATCGTCGCAGTCAATACCTCCTGTGCGTCTTCCTTGCGCACAGTATGTATGTATTTCACTGCAGTTTGCTATATGACAGTCGTTGACTCTTCCATGTCTCCCACAGCCAAAAGAGTCGTCAAAAGTGGGGCACACACTTGGTACACTTCGGACAGCTGCGCGTCAGACCGAAAGCAGCTCCAGAAGGCCGCTTCCACGAGGCGCACAGGCTATTACATGTCCCGATCTCTAAAACTGAGGCGCCTCCAGATTTGATGTTGCCAGTCGTGCCAGAACTTGCATCAGCAATCGATCTGATTGGTGAAAATAACACATTCTTTGATTTTGACGCACCAATGGCATCGCGCTGCGATGGCACATTTGCGAAGAAGGACCAAGATGCAACTGGTGCTGTGGCTCCTCGCCGTCCTCGTGCCATGGACGGGCGCCACAATGCGCCCGATCATTGGTGTCATGACGCAGCCATTCTATGGCCGCGACGTCGACTACATCGCTGCGTCCTACGTCAAGTGGATCGAGAGCGCCGGCGGTCGCGTCGTGCCGATTCCGTACGCGGCCTCCAACGACACGATCGACGCGCTTCTTAACAGTGTCAACGGCGTGCTCTTCCCGGGCGGCGCAGCGCCTGTCAACGACCAAGCCGCCCGCGTCTACGCGCTCGCACTCGCGGCGAACGACCGGGGCACGTACTTTCCCATTTGGGGCACGTGCCTCGGCTTTGAGTGGCTCATGCAACTCACCTCGTCAATCGGCATTCTCAATACGAATCTCAACGCGATGAACCTCTCGTCGACTCTCAACTACACGTCGGCGGCCGCGACGAGTCGCATCTTCTCGTTCCAGCCGAGCGCGTTTGCAGCTCTGTCAACGCGACCGCTGACGATGAACAACCACCGGAAAGGCATCACAACGACCCGGTTTGCGTCAACGCATGCGCTCACGTCTGCCTTCAACGTCCTGGCAACCTCGGTCGACCGCGCCGGCGTCGAGTACGTGGCGGTGATCGAGAGCCAAACGTACCCGATCTACGGGGTGCAATTCCACCCAGAAAAGCACGCGTACGAGTTTGGCATGCGCGCCAACGGGTCGCCCTACGAGTCTATCGACCACAGCGACGACGCGATCGTAGCGGCCCAAGCGCTTGCTCGCTTCTTCCTGCACGAAGCACGCAAGAACGACCAGCGATTTCCCGACGCCGCCGCGGAGCAGCGAGCGCTCATCTACAACCACCCGCTCACGCAGCGCAAAGCGCCGGCCTTTGCCGAAATTTACGAGTTCCCCGTGAAAACAACCAACACGTGGCGGGACTCGGCGCTCTCGCTGGCTGCCCACGCTCTCCTGCGCCACCCGTGGCGCTAGTCGTCGACCAAGTTCTACTAGCGCACTAAATTGTTCCCCACAAGACGTGACCTCGGTTGATATGCGTTGTGGAAGGTTGATACTGTAGTCGCTGCAAAGCAACTGACGCGGACTCGAATTTATTCCCTGCATTAATTCGACAGCAGCCGCGACCACTTGGCTGAGAGTACGACGCGGTCGTCGACCACTGGCGTCCCGAGCACCCCCAGCACCGAGTCATCGCGGCTCTT